CATTTTCATTTCATTCAAGTCACAGATACCCATAAACAGTATGCCCAGAAGAACTACTTTATAAGCAGAAACCTTAAAGAGAGGATTGTTATAAAGTATCCAAATATACATAAAGAACTTCTTGATTAAAACCGTCACTACACAACTATATCGAGGTCAGTGTCTAGTTTTGGCTATTATAAGCCATCATCAGGCAAATACATGGTTAACATACATACACCACTGAACTGCAGTACTAGTAAAATTGGATACAATAATATTAATTATATAAAATACTTGACGTAAAAATACAATAAATTAGATTATATAAAACAAAGGTTATAGTATAAAACAAGAATAATATTCTTCGATTGATGCTTTACATCATTGAGTCAGTCGTTGGTTTTTGTAATTTTGTTGCGTTCCCACGGACAAATTGGAGTATTCTATATTTTGTGTGTATATAAAAACTGTTATTGGAGGCTCGTGATGTAGATGTAGTAATATTAATGTTAATCTGAAAATGATAAGAAAGTAATAGTATTAAATTTTGTTATAATCAACAACTGATTTTGGTATTGAAGATATAGTGTATTATTACTTACTATTTAGTGGGTGCCTCATCTTTCAAAGTATTGTAAAAAAATACATAAAGAACTCTAAGTGGTTTTAGTCCGCAAGGAAATTATACCGACCGAGCGACGGCCGCTTGTCGGCGAAGTTAGTGTCAACTTTAGCGGATAGAGGGTGTCGCGTGGTCAGCGCAACGGATCCCCACAGCCGTTAATTTCGGTTTTCTAGACTGGAGCCGCTATTTCCTTGAAATAACTCCTCAATTATCCTCACGAGGCTCCTCATGAGGCTAAGTGGACCCCGTTCCAGACCCACTACTTCTCAGAAAATCTGGTAGTGCCGGGAATCGAACCGGAGACCTCTGGATCTGTAGACAGGAACTCTGACCACTAGACTAGAGAGGCGGTCGTATACAGAAAGATCATTTAAAATATCAGACGAATGATAAAAAACAACGAAAGTATTTCATTGAATCTGCCTCATTTATAAAAGAAATTTAATTACTGAAATTCGTACAACAGCCGTAGGGAACCTAGAAGTACATTCGCACCAGACTTGTCTTCTAAATTCAAACTCAGTTGTTCAGAAAGCAGACTTAGACCACAAACAATAGAGAGTGTAAATGATTCATACTTTCAAGACCTGCATAGTAATTATAGACTTTATGAAACAACAACGATATGTAACACAGGGGAGACTTTATTCACAGCACACATAACTAAACAATCTTATTCGATTTCAGTAATCCATTTCAGTTTGCACGCAGTACATCCCGGCAGCTTCTGGGATAATATGTAAAGTAGGGCATGACCGCTTCCATTCAAATTTCATAATTCTCAATTATCCTACCGACCGACGTAATATAACGCTTTGAGAAAGATGAGAAAGTGTAATTAAATAACCCAAACAAATATCCCTTAAGTCCATCTGTGCTATGTGTCTCGTAAGCATTCATAAGGCTAAAAGAGAAACTGATATTATTGTGATGCTCAAAGCTTTCTTCTGTGTTGTTTCGAAAATGTAATGGACACCATCAATTACCAAGGGTGAAATATGGGCATCAAATTTTAAGGGTTGGATTATCCTATGCATAAAATAGATTGATTTAACTATTCTAGATGCTAGCTGTCCCTCCCCAAACGGGAGAAATTTCTCCATGCTTCAGAGTATTCTTGAAAAAAAAAACGAGAGTTACTTAAAGTAAAAAACAGTAAGAGACGCTGAAATAAAAACTTAAAGATATCGAAGGATAAAATACGATTTGTAAGAGGTTGAAAAGTATCTTTTTGGTGTTCTACTGCTATGCGGAATATGAATGGGGCAGAAAAGGATAAGTTGGCTGATATGAAAGGAACGAAAGGAAACTGAAGTCATGGGGAATAATGCGGGGTTTAGAACAGAGGAAGTAGTCGTGGAGCGGCAATAGGAAGGGGTCTCTCATGTAAAGGGTAGCAGGTGCTAAGAATATCTTGCTGAAATGTTCCGAAACTATAAATCTCGGACTGGAAGTATTATTCAAAAGACAGTAATCAGTATTAAAATGGGAGGTTATACGAAAGTAACTTATCTTAAAACTGTCGAGACATACTTAATTTTCAGTGGAGAGTATGGACGACTAAATACTAAGAAGGCAAGAATAAGTACTTTAGAACAAGACAATATAAAATTCGTATAATTTGTGTTAGTGAAGCCTTTAGTAAGAGCCTCGGCTGGGCTGTTATCTAGCCTGAGGTACTTCATAGTCTTCCACAGCCCGCTCTTCCTTAAAACGTCTCACGACAGCCTCTTTCTACATCCTTTTCGATTCATCATTCATTATTATCATTCCATCACACTCGACACGATATGTCATCTGACGTGAAGTTACATAAAATAAGAATGAAAGAAAAAGAATGTTCTCGTGCTTAACTAACTGAGCACTACGCCGGGAATGTGTATGGGGGAATTGATGTGTAACTCTACGTTCGTTCTCTTGACGTCAGATTCACGCACCGACCGCTTTACCCCCGGGGAAAATGTCCCCGGTACCCATTGGTTAGGAGGCTGGGTGTGCCCCAGAGCCGGTCTGGACGATATGGAAAGGAGAAAAATCATTCCCCTAGCGGGACTCAAACTCGGACACCCTTGCCGTCCAGCCCGTATTCCATCCCTATACAGACTGTGTTTCCATGCATCTGCATAAAATAAGAATGTTTGCAATAATAATTTTAAACGGAGAACTGTACAAGGCGTGAGGCAGCAACTTCTCCAGCACAGTAGCGAAGCGTGTAATCTAATCATACTTTACAGGATAACGTCATACCAGAACACGGCCTGCATGTAACAGTATACTCGTACTGGCCCGCTAGAGAAATGTGCAATATGTTTCAGGGGCTGACACTTATAAAATACGTCGCACTTTCATGAAAAAGGATATTATTCCAGCAACTTCTTTCATAAGAGACATGCACCTCTTACAGCGCCTTCTGCTTTAATAAATATTCTTATCTTCACATGGTGCACCCTGCCTTCTCGACAGTGCCTCCGGCATCTCAGCTATGGTGGCAGACCGAGTACATTTAGTACGGAGGAAATTTAGCACCCAGTTCCTGATGAACATAATCACGGAAGTATAACCATTATGCTTTGAGTAATGCAAGGCCCCTAGCAAGCACAATTCTTATACTAGTTTAAATTTAAGTATCTGGTTTGTAGGGAACTTGTTTTGGTAGCGCATAACCGTTGAATTTGAGTCACATTTAAATAACATACCAAATCTTCATAAGAACGGTTCTCAAAAACGAATCCATTTCGAATGTATCTTAAGAGAAACAATGATAAGAAGCACAGCAGCGCGGTATGTAAGCCACCATTCACTGATACTGTGCCTGGCATTGCCCAAGTGACGATTCTACCTCATACACAGGACGTTTCAGGAATTGGCTCCACTCCCGTCTTCAGCCGTTTGCATTGTGGGTGATATTGAATTAAAAAGCTATCAAGATGAAATGGTTCTTCATGCCCAATGACATGAAAATACCGGTCACGATAGCCGAGCGGTCTAAGGTATGTACTGTCTTCGCTCGCTCGGAAGCTGGGATCGTGAGTTCGAATCCCATACAAGGCATGGATGTTTAGTATGTATATGTGTTGCCCTGTGTTTAGGTAAAGGCCTTGCGACGAGCTGATCACTCGTCCAATGAGTCCTAATATCTATAAAATGATTATGAAACTGAAAATCAGAGGCCAGGGCCCATGGGGGTATAGAGCCAGCAAAACAGAAAAGGCACTAAAATCTGTTAATTAGTGGGCATTATATAATCGTGTTTATTATAGAATCAGGGGACGGTCAGAGGAGTGCATAGGCGTGTGTAGTTCAGTGAGGCTGAAAATAAATGAACACTTTTCCATCGGACCTCTGAAATGAATCGGGCCAGCACAGGAAAACTGAACGCATGATACTACATTTACTGGCCACGTAGAGGTCAGCATTGTTGCTTCTTCTTCGGGAGGAACGTGGCTAGTCTAGCCTCAAAGGCGGCTGTCCTGAGATTTTTCGTTGTTTTTCTGTCTTCATACTTACATATGATTATCTAATAATAATAATAATAATAATAATAATAATAATAATAATAATAATAATATAAACAACAACAACAACAACAACAACAACAATAGTAATAAATTCTTAGTTCTTATAACGATTGCTCTATAAATACAAATATTATATAGCGTCGAATCAGATGGCAAAGTAAATAGTAATATTGAAGAGATGCTGACTTGGACGGAGCCAATTTTGATGTTTCTTGGTCCTCAGTATTCACTTGGTGAGAGTAAAAACCTATGAAAATTTTGGCCGGTAGCCGGGCCGAGATTCGAACCGAGCACCTGAAGTACCTGTACAAGTCTACAGCTTTACCGCTATACCATTCTGCTCGGTATCATACATTTGACATAGTCTATGCAGCTGTCGAAGTGTCGTTAAAAGGCTATTCTGAGTAGTCGCTTGTGTAAGAAACACTACACTGTTTGTTTAATCTTAAAATTAGACATAAAAGTTGTATTCTACGTCAAACTTTGAGTTTGTTTCCAATTGTGAGGTAGATCCGCGAGGCATGACGTGCCGTGGCTAACTGGAGACTTCCCGAGGGTGAAGCTATGTGATGCCTGAGAGAGTCGCTCATTACTTGGGGCACTGGTGTGTGGGGGAACTTCCTGCCAAGGACCGCCAGACCACAACAGTCATGCGAGCAGGTGTGCGCGTCCTTTTGTGCTATCTTGTAGCTAATCAGAAGCGATCTACAGTTTTATATGGAATCCGAATCAAGAATGAGATGCTGGGTTGATATGAGGAAGTAAAAACCGCCTACATAATGGAATTGAGGATCCACCACTGATAATCATATTAGTAGTTCTAACATTTAGAATTTACGAACTATGTCTGCAGCCTGGAGTTCAGTATTTCTCACCTGTAAATTCTGACGGAAGTCAGTTCATTTTCAGGATACTCAGAGCTTCTAAACCTGAAAGAGAAGAGAACAAGAAATATGAAATACAGACATAACACAATTGAACTACATCGTACAGTTATGCGAAAGAATATTTGAATAAAATGACATTGCTTCAAAATGCACAGATGAAATTTCATCTTGTGTGGATTTTTGTTATTAAATTTAACATGTTTCACCTTCATCAAGCAACGTTAGTATATTAGTTTTCGTAGAACTTTCGTGCAACAGGCTTTTCCTGTAATTGTAAAAAATAAAAAAATCAGTAAGTCGAAAGGTGTTATCCAGTTTCCTGATTTCTCATTAGCGATGTTGAAGCTTAGGGTTCCACTTCTAGGGGAGTGAATGAAAACATTGGTTAACTGGATAGCTAGTCAGTTTTACCGAAAGAAAAGCATACAAGTTGAGAAGAAAGCTAATAAAATAATAAAGTTGTTTGAAAAATTTGTTTTCAACCATCTGATTCAAGTACTACTAGCGCACAGCAAATATCGCAATATGAACATTTCTCCTTTACGTGACGTTAGAAGCGAAGACACTCTGTGCAACTCGAGAACGTGTAAGAGGGCACAGTTAGTTTACGATGTCATCAATTTTTTCGCCGAATATGAGGGGAAAAAGATACCGCCTCTGTGGTCTGGTGTTCAGAGTTCCTGGCTATAGTACAGAGGTGCCGGCTTCGATTTCCGGCGCTACCAGATTTTCGGAGAAGTAGTGGGTCTGGAACGGCTTCACTCAGGCTTGTGAGGATAATTGAGGAGCTATTTCAAAAAAATAGAGGCTCCGGTCTAGAAAACCGATATTAACGGCCGTGGAGAACCGTTGCGCTGTCCACGTGACACCCTCTATCCTCAAAAGTTGTCACTAACTTCGCCGACAAGCGGCGGTCGCTCGGTCGGTATAGATCGCTTGCGGACTACAGGCCGCAGAGTTTGTTTTGTTCGTTGTATATGAGATGAAAAGAAGCAATCGTAACTGATTTAGCGAATAAAACTCTGTGGGAGCTGAGTTCAGACTCCACTGCCCAATACAATTATTTACTCGCTGAAAGGAAGATAAGTCGTTAGACATGAAATGTCATCTTTTCAGTAGCAGTCCTTGCATGTATATATAAATATATGTGTAATGCTAACGAGAATAGGCGACCCCGTCATAAATTAACATAAGTGCCCTGAGAATGCCGGATGAACAATAGCCTAAGCGTTTCCAGCAATCTATCGTGTTGAAGTGATTATCTTCAACATGAACTGCCACCAAATGTAGCACTTGGCTTATTAAATAAAGTTCGGTTTTAGGATCAGTTTATGCTCCTCCTGTTTCCAGCAGCCACAAATTCATGTTCTGCAGTAAGTAGACGTCTTCTGCAGCAACATAATATTCTGCAGTAAAGGTAATGTCTCTACGTTGAGAGTACCCAGTTTCAGGGTCATATTATGTCACTAGCAGCTAGTTGCACCATTGCTGTTTCTCAAGGTCAAGTTTCATGTAACCATGACGACACTTCATTGTTACATGTCCGGTTAAGATTACACTCTCAATCGCCTGCGTATTATTATTATTGAGGGATACCTCGTGGGTTAACTGACCGACTGCGCGCCGAAAGGCCAGATTTCGACTGCCGTCAGCGGTAGAGACTCTCTCTTCACCATTACCACCAGACTATCTGAGGTCTAGCAAATCTCATATTCTCCTTTCGAAGGAGATAAAGCAGTAAGGGATTGCAGATGGACATTAGCACGAATTTAGTGCAGAGTGGAATTTTCATAATTCAGAAACGGATATCATCATAATCACCTCCATCGTCGTAATCTGTGGTCAAAATAATGGTATTTCTTATGGAATAATTATTAAAATATCTATAAACAGACTATGTGACTGACATTAAAGGCCGCGCCATAGCTCAAGCGGTTAGTCGCTGGCTTCCCACCGCGGCAGCCCGGGTTCGATCCCGGGTCTGGTCAAGTGGGATTTGTGGTGGACAAAGTGGCGCTGGGGCAGCTTTTCTCCGAGTACTTCGGTTTCCCCTGCCAATCTTCATTCTATCAATTGCTCCACAATCGCCCTCACCTATCATCTGGGGTTGGTACAATAGGCCAGAAGTGGCCGCAGTAAAACGGACTTAGTCCCACCCCACTAGCAATAAAAAAATAATGTGGCTGACATGGAACAAGTTAGAGGAGTGATAAATGTATAAATTTGAATTCGGGAGGTATGTGATTTGAATCTCGACCCGACTTCCTGCTTTGAAGTTTTTGTACTTTCCTTTAATCCCTCCTTCAAGGTCATCGTTGTACGAGTATAATTATTCATGTAGGACCATAATCACCTCCTTCAAAATATATTCCTGCTCACCGTACATGGTAAATTTACCTCCTGTATTCTGCAGTAAATCCCACTCAGGGCATGCATGTTTATTTTGTATGTGTGCGTTTTTCTGCGTTTGTGTAGAGGCAGAGGCATTGCGACGAGTTGATCACCCGCCCAAGGAGTCCTACCGAATGTGTAAGATCTAGAAAAACCGAAGTGAATGGAGAAGTTCATGGAGGTAAGCCTAGGCCCACTGGGGCTGGAGTGCCAAGGAAAAAAAATCTGTAGTTATAACAGTGACATTAAGTAACACAAGACTTAACCATTCATAAATGACAACATAGTTAGTATGGCGATTGAATTATGAATCAGCTGTGGACTTAAAGTACATTGGGAATCACCAGGAGAAATATTAAAATTAACAGGAAATAATAAGATCCATTTGACGGTAATTTAACCAGATAAACATACGGAATCAACTTCATGATTATGGACAACTCAGTCACTGAAGTGAATGAGACAACTGGATTTCGATGTTTCTGTTCATAATAACGTCCAGTCTAGTTAAGACGTCCCAACCTCCATCGGAAGACTTTCCCCGGGACCAATGCGACCGGCACATGAAGCTGGTCAATCACCTGCATGTAGTGCCGAACACAAAAATGCGAGTGGAATTTTGTCTTCGCTTCCGTTACATGCCTTCATGGCGTAATGCTTAGGCGCGGGGACAGACCTACCTTTTAACATAGACACCAGGAAAACAAAACACAGCTTGAGACCTGCAGCAAAGAATTGCTTAGAAAGAGACGTTTTAACTGCATGCGGTAGCTTGGACGTTTCTTCCGTTTTGCCTTCGTAGATTCAGTTCCACTGAAATCTTCTTCTACGAAATGTTTTGTTGTTTAAAACAATCTCTTCAAGAAGCATATATAGAAAAATTACACCAGCAGAAGACATTCCTTTTCTTCTCTTACCAAATACACTTTCATAATATAATTAAATGTGTCATTATTCGTTCTAAAGGGTTCTGACGATGGTGTATAATGTTCAGAATTACAGGTTTTTGGACTCTGTACATCGTCCGGTATTCTGGAAACTAGAAAATACAATGTTTCGGAAACTGGATCTGTTTCCGCCTTCAGGTAAGAAACTTAAAAACACAACGTTTGGGAAACTGGATCTTTTTCCATCCTGAGATGATTGAGTTGGCTCTTTCCAAGGGACCCAACAAAGTGGACTTCTCCTCACCTCACACGAGGACGGAAACAAATCCAGTTTCCAAAAGGCTGTGTTTTCTGATCTCTAGAATACCGAACGATGGACAAAGTCTGAAAACTGAGTAATTCTGTGTGTTATTATTGTTTCCTCAAGATGTCAATCATACACGTATATGGGGTAGGGAGAACTAATGCAGAAGAATGATAGAAGAAATACAGTATGGCGGAAATTGCGAATGTAGAAATCTAAGAGGAAGTAGGACAGGATTAGAAGAAGGCTGATATACCCTACATTAAGGAAAAGAAGGTTAAGGAAATATATTATTAAAATGTACAGAAACGACAAAATGGCGAAAGGAATTATTATGTAAGAAGCATTTATTAATTAATGAGAAATTAACGTCGGGGGGAAAATTGAACTGTACCAACAAAAGTTACCACAGGCACGTGGGGAAATGTTTATTTAACGTTAAATGTAAATGGGAAAATGGAGTAAGGGAGACATGTTTATTTCATTACCCTTCAAGAATGCCTTATGGTGACGTTGCGTTTTCGACTGTATGTTATATCGATGCATTGTGTCGAGTTTTGAAATTCGGTACTGCATATATACACATATATTTCTAAACCCAGCAAATTAAGTTTACCCCTTTATCTGAGGATTTAAATTAAAATATTCTGAGCTCCTTTTTTATCTAATATGATTTTCAGCGTATAGGAAGTTGCAGGGCTGTATTATTTTTTTTCCACAAGATGTTTATTGAAATATTAATATGAAAAGTATTATCTGCGTGTATTGAGACAGAGGACAGAACACTTCTAGATGTAGTATTTACTATTACGATTAAATGTAATGGAAATGGAGGAGATTAATAAACGCTCTAATATCCAAGAAAAAGTTTATTTGTATCTAAATACGTTTCATATGACACTGAACATCTTCGCGATATAAAAATTACAATGAAGGGTTTAAGTTTCTCGCAGTTGTGGTTATGAACAGTACTACCATCTATGATATAACTCCGTGTAGTCCCTTCAAAGTCAAGCAATTTTTTACCTGCTCCATGCTGGTTACTTGCTTCGACCCTGAAGATGAAGGCGACATGTTCGTTCCTCCGAAACATCGGTTAACTTTCAACGGAATACAGGTCGCTGTATCCCAGAAGAGAAACTAAATGACGTTTAGTAGAAGGTAAAGTTGTCCCTGTGCTTAATTAAGTACGCACTACGCCATAAAGACGTAAGGGGAAATGGATATGTAGATCCATGTATTCCTGACCTCGGCATTAATTGAAGGTGTGGTCAGCTTCACGCCCCGGCTGCTTTCCCCCGGGAAAGAGCCCCCGGCACCCATTTGATAGGAGTCTGGGTGGGCCCAAGAACCGGTCTGAATGACATGGACAGGAGAACAATTTTGCCCCTACCAGGAATCGAACTCCGACCTCTCTGCCATGCAGCCCGTAGCCAGCCACTACACCGATTGAAGGGGGT